TGCACCCAGTATGATGTAATAGTTAGCATACTAGACTTGGAGCAGGGAAACCTGGATTATAATCCTCTGTTAGGCATAGAAGCCAGATGGGTGATATTGGGTCAGTGATTCCTTCTCAGCCCATGTCAGTATCAGACTGAGACACAAACTGGCTGAAAAACAAAAACCCTTCCCACATCATGAGTTGATAGCTTTGCTGTAAGAACTGGATGCGCTCGATTAAAACCAAGAAGATCCTGCAACTAGCAGAATAGATGCTAAGAAGATCAACCTCCAATACCATATGTTGAATATAAAGCAACGGCTAAGAGGCTGGGCTTGTTGAACAGAAGATTGGCTGGTCAAGTATGCATGACAAAGTGAGCTCCTGTTTTTGCTCCAGGTCCTGCCAGCCTAGCTGTTCGAAAGCATACAAATGCAAGAGGATAAATAGGTACCATTTCAATAGGAAGGTAATGGCTTTCCATGTTCCTCAGCGTATAGTCATGCTGGCCACTTGATCACAGAAATATCTTCAGACAATGCTGACTCCCTTGGCTAGGAAACAGAAATGAATTTTTATTATGGTAGATGAAGACATACAGTATCTTTTAGCTAGCAGTGACCTAATGTTGAATTATCTTTTTTGAACTACCTCTCCATATGTCCAAGTCACTTTAAAATATTTTGTGATTACCATTCATTTCTCTATGCAAACATTCATTTGGCACTTCCATTCATTCTTGATCCTGTCTCTTTTTCTATGCACACCTCTTAAGTACCTCATTCCCACTGCATTCAATTTACTTTCAGGTTTCTGGTGACATTTTATTTTTTCCGCATTGTGTTTAATCTCTTTTCATTTTCACACACCATTTTCACTTCTTTCAACAAACATCTTTTCTTCACAGTGTATATCATTACTTTTCTACCAGTATCTTAAGATTCCTTCATTCATTTCACCATCTTCACTAATTCTCTCATACCCCATAAGGATATGAATAATATCCTTTTAGATATTTATTCCTTTGCTATGTATGCCAAAAGATAGAACTAGTTTTAAATCCATATTTTTGAAGCAAACAGACTTTTTTCTAAGAAGAGATTGAGAGAATCACCATTTCCATTTATTCTTGGGTATTTGAATGACCCAATCAGTTTTTGTATAATCTCTCTTTGCATTCCATATCTTGTTGCATCATCTAACAGAGAGAATCACCATTCTGATTTATTCTTGGATAGATCTTGAATAGCTCAATCACCCTTTTTGTAGTCTCTCTTTACATTCCTACATATCTATTTATGTCACTTAACAAATTAATAGTTCCTTTGCGATTACCACGGGGGTGAAATCTAGCAGGTTCTGACAGGTTCTGGAGAACCGGTAGTGGAAATTTTGAGCAGTTTGGAGAACTGGCAAATACCACCTCTGGCTGGCTCCAGAGTGGGGTGGGAATGGAGATTTTGCAATATCTTTCCCCTAGGAGTGGGAAGGGAATGGGGAGTTTGCAGTATCCTTCCCCTGTCATGCCCACCAAGCCACACCATGCCCACCAAGCCACACCCACAGAACCGGTAGTAAAAACATTTGGATTTCACCACTGGTACCATTACCATATCAGGAATGTGGCATGTAACTATGTTCAACCTAAGAATCCCTTTTATATGGACCCACAACTGCCTATATGATAGTAGTTATTCATTTCTATTGTGACATACATCTTAGATTTTTCTTTCATAACGGAAATCTGTAATTTCCACACACATATTTATCAATTTATCTCAAAAAAAATCAGACTGGCATTATTTCCACCCTTTTGCTCTCTTGTGGTTTCACAAATAACCCTTTATTTGTATTTTGTGTATTTCATTTGTTAATTCATTCTATTTGCTTCTTTTGTCTTAAATCTTCCATATGTTCACTGCCATGATGTCTTGGCTATTTGTTCTCCATGCCCATCATGACTTTGGACAGTTCAGGCATTTACCCAATGCTTTCCAGTAAGAGAATGTGTAGATTAAGAATTTGGTCCAGCTGCTAAAGGGAGCCTTAATTATGCCTATGCACTTGTAGCATTCCCTGATAACAACAAGCCCAATATTGGCCAGTTCTAAACTATCATATCAGTAATTTCAGTCATTACTCAATGTTATCTAGAACTAGACACCATTATTTCCCTTTCCAGCAAGACAAATCATTTTAAATGCATTTTTTTTAAAAAAATACGGAAAACAGTTCTCAAGTGGATTTGATTCCCAAATCTCAAATCCCACAACTCAAATCTTTAAAACATGCAACTAAAAGCAGATAAGCAAGCAAAATACTTTACAGTTATTCACAGTGTTTGCACAATTCCATAATCTTATCATATGAGAATCTTTGGGTCCCCCATTACACATATACTTCTAGAAAGTTGCTGAGTTTTTACAATTCTTTTTTCCTTCTAGGAAAAAAAAAATGAGTGAGTTGTCACATAATCAGCTTGACCCAAATGAATGCAATTTATATTAGGTTGGGGGCATAGTGGAGAATAGAAGAAAAAAGATGGAGAAAATGCATGAATTGAATGATTATTGGAGAATAGCATAGGATTATTTTAAAGCTCTAAATTATTTAAAATAACTCTATATTTTCTCCAACTTTGATTACACTGTGCATTATCATATTCTGAGAGACTTGAAAATTATTATTACTCTGACTGTCAAGGAATAGATTCAGTAACCGAGTAATTCATCATTTTTTAAAGTATTTTTTTTACTAATCAAAATGATGCAAAATGTTTTCTTTGGAAAAGAGTTCATGATGTTTTATAATAATTGAATCTTGCTTTCTTTTGAATTTAAAATTGTTTAATTGAAGATATGGGTGTTTCTTTTTCCTTTTTTGGTTTGCTTATTATTGTTTATCTTTATATATTCACAGAGAGAGAAATATGTGTGTGTATGGGTGTGTATATAGATAAATAAACTAAAGTTATTTTTTTTAAAAAAATAAAGTTCGTGTGTCAATTGATTCAGAGATCATATAAACACCCATGCTCTTTTATATATTCCTACGCAAATTACTGAAAGAAAGAAAAAATATTTGCCTGCTAAATTGGCATCAAACCTAAACCAAACTTGAATCAAGGTTGTTATGCAAATATCAAAAAATAGCTGAAAGTAAAATTATAGTATAACTCTGTTGAGCTGAACTGAAAATGAAAAAGGGAAACAAGCAATTTAAAAAGAACAAGAAGGAAGGAAAAAATAAAAACTCTTCACTGAGAAAGAATGACATGAAAACTATTGATAAAGTTGAGGAAATAGGAGCATTGTCATTTGACTAGAAGTCAGATGACAGATATAAAGATTTTTGAGAAAACAAATGAAAAAGAGGCTCATATTTTCAGCACAATTCAAGATCTATACTATAGAAGGACTCTAGTAGTAATAACTGGGGCAACAAGAAAATTAAGAAGTGTAAACTATTGTAATATTGCTTTGTGGTGATGAAAGCAATATTCACTTTAAAATTTTCATTATATCTGTAAGCTATGTAAGATAATTCTACAAATTACATAGCAGGATGCTCAGCTTTGTTATCAGGTCAGCAAACACTCATTAGCTTTCCAGCTGAATTTATATAATATAATGGTACATGACATATACCTATATACCAAATGTATACTTCGATGTGCATAGTTGTACAGTTATGGGGAGGAGTAAGCAATATTTTCAGGAAAAAAAGATTGTCTTCAAATTACTAAATATGTGAGATACTACATAATTGGGATTTGTATTCTTATTACTTTGTGAATAGTCAAGCTATCTGTCCTCCAGATGTTTTGGATAATTCTTTATAGGTTATGTGGTCCAATGGTAACTGAAGGCCAAAACATCTCAGGAGAATCAAATTATGTATCCCTAATATAGTTGTGTAACCTCTGCTAACACAGTTCTTGATTTGTGGCAGTGAAATTCCAATATTGAAGGTGAAACATTCTATATGGATAATAACATTATCCATTTATATTTATATTGAAATAATATTTTGTAAGGATTTTTTTAATGCTGTCCTTTGAAAATCTTTAAATTAATTAATGTTCCATATCTCAGCAGGAGCTAAAAGCTAAAGCACTGGGCTGAAAAATAGGATCATTAAACCTGAGCTGAAAAAAAAATCGGATGACAACTAAATGGTAACAAAGAGATAGAAACTTTACTTTTCTAAGAGTCTTCAAGATTACTAGAAGTAGTATTCTAAGCAATAAGTACTACTAATCTTCTAGATTACTGCAATGGGCAGACCAGATCTGCAGAATCACCTTTATTCTTACAAAATTATTAGCCAATAGTAAGAGAGGACATCTATTCATTCAATGGGACTTTCACCTCTTCTAAAAAGCAAACAAACATACTCTAGAAAATCCCCATGTCCTTTCTGAGAAGCTCCAATTTGGTGGAGTGTAGGAAGTTAAAGGAAGGAAAAGTAATCCGTTCATTGATGAAAGGTTTTCCCAGTGCTATCATAGTGATATTTTGGAGGGATGGTAGGGAGGAGTGACACTGAAAATCTGATCTGAATATTGAACCCATGCTTCAATAGAAAATCTGTTGAAAATCTGGTATCAGTACTGAATCTGGAGGAAATGTTTGGGTTCTGTAATCTCCACTATTTGAAATGGGACTTTATGCCATGCAAATGTCTGCTGAAGACAAAGAGAAAAGGAATAAAGTAAATCGCTCTTTCCATCTGGCACTTCATTTCTGCCAGTCTCTGCTTGCATACAAATGGAAATGTTCAGGCAATTCCACAGGTTCAAGACATTTACTTATACTGTTATCTCACACACTTCCTTACGCCTATACAAGCATAATGTACTGATGCAGATGCAGTCACAGGGGCAAGACAGAAGAAAGGTTCTCCCCTTGCCACCGTCGTCCTGTTTCTAGCCATTTGACTACTATTTCTTTCAGGAGGGGTGCTTGACAAGTATGATCAAAGTAAGCTGATCTGTTTTCCTTTGTGTTTTGTGTAGGTGTGAAGGGACAGCTAAGAGAATGAAGACTCTAAGTCCCCAGCGGAAGCATGATATGGCGATGCAGTGCTGGTGCTGAATTGTTCTCTCTGATGGCTCTATGGGAGTGGATAGCCCTGAGTCTTCATTGCTGGGTTTTAGCGGTTGCTGCTGGTTCGGATCAGCATGCCACAAGCCCCTTCGACTGGCTTCTCTCTGATAAGGGACCCTTCCATCGCTCCCCGGAATACACAGATTTTGTGGACAGAAGCCGACAGGGATTTAGCACAAGATACAAGATTTACAGGTATGAAGCATTTGGGATCACAATGGGCAGTGTGAAGCTTTGGGGAAGCTAAATAGCACAACACCTCTTGAAGGAAAAGGGAGAAACATGAATATAAGAAGTCAGTGGGTAGGTCAGTGGTCATTCTAAAATTCTATGCCAAGATTCTATTCAGAACTAGGGTCTCTTGAGAACTAGAGTGATGGTGGATGAAGAGGTTGAGTGAAGACATTGTTGAAGTTGATCACAAATGTTGACTGAGTTTCATGTATTGCTGAAAAAAGTTAATTTTAATTCCTAATCTACTTTTGATGTATATTTCTTATTTCTTTGCATGTACTTATTTTTGCAGAAAATGCTAGAGAATGATGCTAGAGATGCTAGAGAAAAGTCATACTTCAAAAGTGGAGGACACATCCACACTTGTTCCCTGATGTTACTGAGATAGCCACATTCCTGTTGGCATCAGTGGAGGCTTTTCCTGAATTGCAAATAGTTTTTTTTTAAAAAAAATATTTTTAAATATTAAAAATAGTTTCTTTAGAGAAACATCCTGATTGGAACATCAAAGTATGGATGTAAACTTCCCTACACACTTTCCACAATATCTTTGCTAAATAATAATTAGAAATAAAATGCAATAAAATATTAATGCATTCATGCCAGAAATACCATATCTAGTTTCTTTGCTTTCAGAGTTACCAAAGCTTGTTAAGAACCTTCAGAATTGTCTGTCAGAACCAACTAGCTTTTCTCAGCATGGTTTCTTTGAAATATGTAAGATTACTACTCCTATCATCTTCTATCTAAAGTTCACCCCAAACACATGGATCGATTATCCTATGATACTCTAATCTATTGTGAGGTAATTTATTAATAGCATCAAGAAAACGTTTCAGTACTTTAATAACTTCCAATTTAATTTCATTTAAGTGAGGCAATAATAATGGAGTTGCTAATTTAAACAGAAGTCTGTCCTGGGTTTAAAGGTCTGCACCATATAACTTAATTGGTTGACTGCAAATTGGATAGAAAGGGGGTGCCTTCTTTTTTTAGAATGCATTATGGGTAAAGATCAATTGTTATATGCTAGTCTTTTACACAATACCTGTAAAAGCATGGATTTGGGGGAATGGAAAACAATAAGGAAATTTTAGGCATAATGATACATACTCACAAAATGTGAACATTATTAATGTCATTCCTCCAGGCTGGGAGGATGAGAGTTTGCACATTGAAAATGTGGGTACATATTAGAAATAAGTGTTATGGATTTCCTGCTTGTTTCTGAAATGTTGCTTATATTGAAAAGAGGAAAGTAAGAAAACTGCACCAATGGGATAAAATTAGAAAATATAGTTAACAAAGTGTTTTAATTATTGATGAAAACTGGTATTGTAACTCTTTAGAATCTTTTTTTTTTTAAAAAAATAGATTGATAATGAAAGAAACTGATTGATTGATATTTCTTGCTTCTTCATGGTCTTGAAGTCATTTGAACAGGTGGTCATTCATTTGCTGTGAATTGTTTTGTTGTTGAATGTTTCCAGCATTTTGTTCATTTTGTTTACCGGTGCTACTGGTGCTATCTATGTTCACATGCAAATCATAGCTGCTCCTTAAATATATGCTTGGGAAGAGGATTGTTGATTGTTTTTATGTTCTAAAGATTTATATTCCTTTGCTTTTGCTTTTTTTTATGCACCAGAGGGCACTGTGTTGCAGGTCAATTCTGTTTTAGATTCTTTTGTGGTAGGCAGAAACATTAAGAAGTCTACACTAAACATGGTTCTGAAATATGCATTTGGGACATATGGGAAGCAATCAATATATTGTATTTTATTGTATTTTTCATTTTAAAATCAAGTTGTCAATGATATAAGGGAGGAGAGAGAACCATCAGAACAACATATATACAGATTAATTGAGCATATTGGTTTTTGTTTTATAATGGTCAACAAAAGGCAACAAAATATAATACATGAGTACTGATTTTATCTTTCTGCTTTCAGTACATAACAGGTATTGGTGCAGTGATATGGGTATGCAAATACAAAAATATCCTTCATGTACAATGTGCCTTTTCAAGTGTCACTTTACTATAACCTCTTGTTGTAATGTACTCAGCAGAATAAGTAGGGATTGACCTTTTAAATTAAATAAAATGTTTGCCACAAAGAATGGCTTCCATAAATCTAAAATTGATTAACTGCTTCTGTTTATTGTAAATTTTGCTGAAGCACCATTCGTAGGATTAAATGTAAGAAAATAGCAAAGTCATCATGTCCATCATATTTGATGTGACTATCAAAAATGACCAAGAATTTCATTCGGTTTGCATTTTGATATTAACTTTTCAAATATGCCCTTCCCAAATTCTTAAACACAAGTAATTTTGGTGTGTAATTCTCCAAATAAGAGTAACAAATATGTACTTATAGAGGAAAAATAAGCGTAATTGTTGCTTTCTAAGGGGAATTTTTTTTTATTGGAAATAAGATTGTATGTAATTATTAGAAAAAAATAGAAATTTTTCATTGTTTAAAAAGTAATAAAATGATAAGGATATAGAATGTAAAACAAGATATATGAAAGATTGAGAGAAATTGAAACTGAAATTTGTCCAGAGTGAGAGAGTCAAACTCCTGAGAGAGACAAACAACAAGGGAATAGAATTTCTTCAGAGATATCATCATTAAAATTTACTTTTAGGACTCATGATAATCTTCTGCATGATCTTCTCCAAATTTACATAATTTCAAAATAACTAGGGGGAATACTCCAAATAAATTAAAACTCCCTGGTCTCTGCTACATACTTCTAATAAATAGGAGTGGTAAATTGTGGATGAACTATACCAATTGGCATCTCTTACCATTCTTGGTTGATTTCTTGGGAAAAGAGGTTCATTACAATTTGGTGAGCCTTAGTTTCTCCACTGCTGACAGAAATATAACTTTCCAGAGCCATCTATTTTGAAACAATATACTTTGCCCCAATATTGTATATGCCAACTTATTTCTAAAGTCTTCCGAACCTTATACCTACTTATAGCCACTTAAGTTTAAATAAGGCTAAGCATCCAAATACACAAATGGGAGGATTTGTTCTCTTTACTAAATGATACTTGGAAACACACACATACACCAGAGGTGGGTTCTACTTACCTTTACTACCTGTTCTGTCTGTCCCGTTCGCAATGGGAGTGCGTGTATATGCACGCTTCTGTGCATGTGCACTTCTGTGCATGCGCAGAAGCTTCTGGGCATGCACAGATCATCAATTATGACATCCGGGAAGGTGAGCAGAGCCTCTCGCCACTTTTACTACAGATTCTGAAGAACTGGACAGAATCAGGAGCAATCCACCATTGACATCTCTCTCTCTCTCTCTCTCTCTCTCTCTCTCTCTCTCTCTCTCTCTCACACACACACACACACACACACACACACACACGCAATAGGGATACAAGTTTCTCCTACAAAGTTCAGTAAATTTGGTTTACAAGTTTTCCAAATTAAGAGGAGAGTTGTCAGGCAGATGTCAAGGAGCAGAACTTGTGGCAGATTTGTCAGCCAACCCAGGTTCAAAATCAGGATTGTAAGGTACATGAATCAAGGTATATGGTGTAGGAGTTAATGGATAGTTTCATCAAAGAGCCTGTGCTTGCTCTATTTTAATATAAGCAGCCCAGTGTAGCTCATTTAGTGGTGCCAAAATTCTTCTCTGTGAGCAGTCTTGCAGAACACTTTTAGTCTGTTCCTTAGAAGCCTGATGAGTTCCTGCATTAGTTCTTTGCCCTCATCTTCAGAGAGCAATAGCAGTTGTGTCTACTGGTTTCTGTTTTGCTTCACCTCTTCTGTCTGCTCAGTCAATGCTCTATCTAATGGTGCTGGAGTTGGCTGCTCATTGTCTGTCAGTACTTCTGAAGCTGATTCTTGAACTGACTCCTCCTCTGACTCTGAATCTTAGCCCACCATGATACTAAGTTTCTAGGAAACAGACACATGTCTGAGAAAAGGAAGAAAAACAGATGGCATATAAATGACACGTAAGTTTCAAATATCACAAATGGGATGATTTTGAAAAGCAAAATAGTATAGTATATATATATATATATATATACTATTTCATATCTGTTACAACCTAGAAGTTGTATCTGGGATGGATGGTGTCTATAAATGGTGAAGTGATGTGATGGACTACAGTGAAGCAGTACCGTGTTTCCCCGAAAATAAGACCCTGTCTTATCATTTTTGAACCCTGAAATAAGCACTTGGCCGTATTGCCATGTGCTCAAAAGCCCGATTGGTCTTATTATCAGGAGATGTCTTACTGGGGGGAACAGGGTAGTTTCCTAGAAAGAAGGAGCACATTCCATGGTGGGGAGGGAGTTGAAACAAGAGGCAATATAATCCAGAGTTGATTTGAAGACAGAGAGTTAGGATAGCTGCTCCCTAGAATCTTCCTGGCTATATACTTTAGGAAAGGGTGGGTTTCAAAAATGTTAGCAAGGGGTTCTCTGCCCGGTTGCTGGGTGGGCATGGCTATGGTGGGTGTGGCCTAGCCAGCCTCCTGCACCACGGCAGCGGGGGCTTTTTGCCCTCCCTGGGCTCTGGAGGCTTTCCTTGAGCCTCTGGGAGGGTGAAAATGGCCTCCCCAGGCTCTGGAGCCTTCCCAAACTTTAGGCCCATTTTTTGCCTTTATTGAGCCTCCACGCACGCCCTGCAGTTACCTGCATCCAAAACAGGCTGCGTGGGAACTCCTAGGAGGGGCGGGGTGGGGTGGGGTGGGGTGGCCCCTCCTAGGAGGGGCCAACCAGGAGTGGGATTTGGGTGTTCTCCAAACTGCACAGAACCTTAGCTAGAGGTTCTCCCGAACCCCTGCGAACCCCCAGCAGCCCACTCCTGACTTTAGGGTGAGAATAGTATTGGTTTAGCTGGGCAAGATTCTGCCTATTGGGTGTGAGCAAATAAAGACCTGAACTTTGCCTGGATTGTTCAATGTCATTTATGGGCTGA